GGGGGGAGGAGTAGGGGAGGGAGAGGAAAAGGGAGAGAATCTCCAGCAGACTCTGCACTGAGCGCGGAGCCCTACACAGGGTTCAGCTCGATTTCACAACCTTGAGATCATGACCTGAGCCGAAACCAAGAGTCACAGGCTTAACGGACTGAGCTATCTAGGTGCCCCATGATTGTTTTTATATGTAGCTGGATTTGGTTTACTCCTATTTTAAGGACTTTTCTGTCTATTTTTGTGATAATTGGTCTGTGGTTTCTTGTGATGTCTCTGACTTTGGAATTAGGTTAGTGTTGGCCTTACAGAATGAGGTGGGAAGTGGTCCCTTTTCTGCTTTCTGAGTTTGTGAAAGATTTGTTACTTTACCATCTTTGAGTATTTGATAGAATTCAACAGTGAACACCTTCTGCGCTTGGGTTTTTCTTTGTTAGATGATTTTAAACTAAGAATTCCTTTACTTGCTGTAAATCTGTTCAGATTTTCTTTCTTGTGTCAGTTTTCGTAATTTTCTTTCTAGGAATTTATGTCCAAGTCCTCTATTTAAGTCACTCTAATGTGTTGACATAAAATTGTTCATACTATTCACTCATAATCCTTTTAATTTTTTCAAGATCACCTATGATGTCCTCTCTTTAGTTCTGATTTTGGTAATTTGGGTCTTATCTTTTTTTCTTGATCAGTCTAAGGCTTGTCAATTTTCTTTTTTTTTTTAAGTTTTCATTGATTTATTTGTCAGAGCGAGAGAGCACAAGCAGGGGAAGCAGCAGGCAGGCAGAGGGAGAAGCAGACTCCCCACTGAGCAAGGAGCCTGATGTGGTACTCAATCCCAGGATGCTGGGATCATGACCTGAGCTGAAGGCAGATGCTTAATTGACTAAGCCACCCAGGCGTCCCATTTTCTTGATTGTTGTGAAAAGCCAACTTTTGTTTTATTGATTTTTCTTTATTATTTTTCTTTTTTCTTTCCTTGATTTTTGCTCTACTCTTATTTTTTGTTGCTTTGGGTTTAGTTTGCTCTTTTTGTAGTTTATTAACATGGAAACTTACTTTATTGATTTGAGATCTTCTTTTCTGATCTTGATGCTTAAAATAATATATTTTTCTTTAAGTACTGCCTTAGCTGCAACCCCAAAATTGATATGTTGTACTTTTTATTTAATTCTTTTCCATATATTTTCTGATTTTGTTTGTAATTTCTTCTTTGACCCCTGGGTTATTTAGAAGTGTGTGGTTGAATTCCAGAGTTTGGGAATATCTCACACTTTGTTGATTTTTAATAATTTTGTTGTAATCAGATCACTTATTTTATATGATTTCAAAATTTAAAATTTCTTGAGACTTTTTTTTATAGCCCAGCATATGATCTATCTTAGAATATGTTTCAGATATACTTGGAAAGAATGTATTGTATTTTCTTGTTGGCTAATGTGTTGTAAAGATGTTAGGTAGAATTGGTCAATAGTGTTCAAGTATATTTTTCTGTGTAGTTGTTTTATTATTGAGACTGGGGTATTGAAATCTCCAGGTTTTTTCATTTTTTAAGAATTGTGGCTAAATATATATAATGAGATTTATTATCTTAACCATTTTTTAGTGTATAGTTCAGTGGTCTTAAAATACATTCATATTGTTGTACACCCATCAGGACCATCCACCTTCAGAATTATTTTCCTTTTGCAAAACTGAAACACTGTCCTCATTAAACAGTACCTGCTCATTCCTTCCTCTCCCAGTCCCCAGAAACCACCATTCTACTTTCTGTCTCTATGATTTGGGCTAGTCTACATACCTAATATATGTAGAATCATACAGTATTTGTTTTTTTATGACTGGATTATTTCACTTAGCATGATGTGTTTCTTTGTTGCTTTCAGTCTTTTTTGATTCAAAGTTTATTTTGTGTGAAATTAACCATCCCTGCTCTCTTTTGATTACAATTTACATGGAATATCTTTTTTCATCCTTTCACTTTTGACCTCTTTGTGTCTTTGGATCTAAAGTGAGTCTTGTAGACAGCATATAGTTGAATCATGTTTTTATATCTGTTCTGCCAGTCTATGTTTGGGTTTTTTTTAAGGTTTTTTTATTTATTCATTTGAGACACAGAGATACAGAGAGAGAGAAAGAACATGAGCAGGGGGAGAAGCAGGTTCCCCGCTGAGCAGGGAGCCCAATGCGGGGCTCAATCCCAGGACCCTGGGATCATGACTTGAGCCAAAGGCAGACGCTTAACCATCTGAGCCACTCAGGCGGCCTGCCAGTCTATGTCTTTTGAACCATTTACATTTAATGTATTACTGATGAGGAAGGACTTCTATCATTTTACTATTTGTTTTCTATATACTTTATACTTTTTTGTCCTACATTTCCTGCATTACTGTCTTTGCTTATGTTTAGTTGATTTTTTTTTTCATGAAAACATTTAAATTTCTTCTTGTTTCTTTTGTGTACATTCTATAGCTATTTTTTATGTTTGCTATGGGACTATATTTAACATCCTGAAGTTATAACAGTTTAATTTGAAATTTTACCAGCTTAACATCAATAACATACAAAAATTCTGTTCCTTTACATCTCCATTCCCCCTCTTTTATTGTTACTGTCACAGCATTACATCTTTATACATAATTTATCCAAAAATATAAATGAATAATTCTTTCTAATGCATTTATCTCTTGAGTTATACTGAAAACAAAAAGTGTAGTTACAAACCAGTTATAATACTAGCTTTTAGACTACTCATTGATTTTTTAATGTTTTAGTCTATTAAATCATGTTGAAAGCAAAAAGTGGGGTTATAAACCAAAATTACAGTAGTACAAGCTTTTATAATTACCCATGTATTTACCTTTATTGAGATCTTTATTTCTTCATGTGGATTTAAGTTACTATCTAATGCCCTTTCATTTCAATCTGCAGGACTTCCTTTAATGCTAGTAGTAACAAACTCCCTTAGCTTCTGTTATCTTGGAATGTCTTATTTTCTCCCTCATATTTGAAAGACGGTTTTGCTGGATATAGGATTGTTGGTTGACAGGGATTTTTTTTCCTTTTAGTGATATTACAGTTCTTTTAAAAATTTTATTTCCAAATTGTTTGCCACTGGCCTCTAGAAATTCAATTGATATTTTTATACATTGACCTCATACCCTGCAGTATTGTTAATAGTCACCTATTAGTTCTGATAATGGCTTTGTAGATTGGTCAATTCCTTAGGATTGTCTTTGTAAACAGTTATGTTGTCTGTGAATAAATGCAGTTTTATTTCCTTCTTCATCTTTATGCCTTTCACTTTTCTTGCATTATTACAGTAGCTAGGACATCCAGTACAGTGCCAGATAGAAATGGTCAGAGAAATAATCCTTGTGTTTGTCCTGATTTGGGGAGAAGCAGTATTTCATGTTAGCTTTCAGTTTTGCAGATACAAAGATCAGAACTCAGCTTTTTATCAGAGGTGGAAACAATATGAGTCTCTTGCCAGAGGATGGATGCTAAAGCCTTTTTCTAAAACCTAGCTGTCCTATTGGATGCTAGCCATGTGAGGCTGTTTCAGTTTAAATTAATTAAAGTTAAATGAAAGTGAAAGTTCAGTTTCCTTAAATGTGTCTTACCAGACACATTTCAAATGCCTAATAGCCACATGTAGCTAGTGTCTTCTGTACTGGTAGTGCAAGTACAGAACGTTTCCAACATTGTAGAAAATTCTATTTGACAGCTTTTAAGAATTTAAGACAAAATGACCCTGTTATCTGGAGATGTTTAATTTGAAGGGATGATAGTATTCTTTCCTGAAAGTTGGAGACACCAGACAAAGAAAGAATGTCTTGTTTTTGCTAACTTATCCAGGAAAGTATTTTAAAACTAGAAGATACCAATTTAAAACTGATTGTCTTGATAGTTGCTTCCAAAGAACTAATTTCTGATTGTTATTCATACATTCTGTATTCATACACTTTTACATTCTTCTGAAGAAGACTCTTCTCAATATTAAGATATCAAAGTGTCATTAATTGCACTCAGGCAGCTCTTTTCCCTTCTTAATCTAAGATTAGCTGTAAGTAGTACAACTTAGAGTAATATCAAAAGGATTCAGAATTAAGAGTGTAAATTTGGGGGCGCCTGGGTGGCTCAGTTGGTTAAGTGACTGCCTTCGGCTCAGGTCATGATCCTGGAGTCCCAGGATCGAGTCCCGCATCAGGCTCCCTGCTTGGCAGGGAGTCTGCTTCTCCCTCTGACCCTCCTCCCTCTCATGCTCTCTGTATCTCATTCTCTCTGTCTCAAATAAATAAATAAAATCTTTAAAAAAAAAAAGTGTAAATTTGTCTTTCATATTTTTATCTTTCTCTAATCTTCATCACATCAAATACTAGCTGGGAAGACACTTCAAATCTTTAATATTGAAATGAAGAGTAAAATGAAGTCTCATACAATGGCAGAAGAGGTGGTTTTCTGGAAATGGGTCTCTGTGAACACTGTTGCCCTGGTGACTGAGACCACAGTCTACCACTGGAGCATGGAAGGTGACTCTCAACCCGTGAAGATGTTTGATAGACATGCCAGTTTGGCAGGGTGCCAGATGATCCACTACCGGACTGACGAGTACCAGAAGTGGCTGCTCCTCATTGGCATCTCGGCTCAGGTAAGCTTTTGGCTGCCTTCAGGAACTGGTCTGATGCAATGTAGAGGTATTATACTGAAGTTGGTACAGGTGTGAGGCAGAAGAAATAGGCCCAGGCCTAAGAGAAATAGAGGTTACAAGAAATCCAAACTTTGGATCATATAAGAATTTTAATTTAACTTTGGCCCATTGACTCTACTGTATTCCGTCAGATTACAGATATTCATCCTGTAAACGATTTCGGGCACAGTTTTGAGAAGTGAATTGTTGAGGAATTTTGTAGAGCCACTTGGAACCTATAGGTTTATGGGAAGTAGTTTTGGGACTCTATTTTAAGGGCTTTAATGGAATATTACTAATTCATATACTTTTTTAAAGATTTATTTTTTTATTTTAGAGAAAGCAAGCGAGCACAGGAGAGAGAGGCAGAGGGAGGAGAGGGAGAGAAAGTCTTAAGCAGACTCCTCACTGAGCACAGAGCCTGATATGTGGGGCTCGATCTTACAACCTGAGCCAAAACCAAGAGTTGGGCACTTAAAACTGACTGCACCACCCAGGCGCCCCTACTAATTCATATACTTTTATGATGAAAGTGGTAACTTTCTGCTCTGCTTCCTTTTTTTTTTTTAAAGATTTTATTTATTTATTTGACAGAGAGAGGCACAGCAAGAGAGGGAATACAGCAGGGGGAGTGGGAGAGGGAGAAGCAGGCCTCCCGCCGAGCAGGGAGCCCGATGCGGGGCTCGATCCCAGCACCCTGGGATCATGACCTGAGCCGAAGGCAGACGCTTAACGACTGAGCCACCCAGGTGCCCTCTGCTTCCTTTTTTCATTCCTAGTGGCTAATCCAGTCACCAGATACTTGACTACAGGATGTTTGGCTTTAGATCTTTATTAGCTAATTCTGGCCATTGAATGGTCTTCCATAGCCTAGTGGGAAAAGTATAAATGTGGGATTCTAGCACTTAGAAGACTGTCAGACATTTGAAGAGAGTACTGTGGGAGCCAAAAGAGAATACTGTAGGTCAGAGAGGACCCACAACAGAGGGGGCCTCTAAGCTGCATTTTGCCAGCTATAAAAGTGCACTTGGAAAGGAAACTGTGTGAATGGCTCTTTCTGGGAGTCTGGGGTCATCACTTTGGCTGATACCTATAGGATGCATAAGAGGCAGCTAGATGGGCAAGGCTGAGAGATGGGTGGGGGCAAGACTGAGGTACATGCTGCTGGCAGTTGGAATTCTGCAGCAGATTTTCAAGTGAGAGTGATATGATTTATTTTCCTTCTCTGCAGCATAATGGGGTCGAAATAATGCAATCAGTGATGTTGAGGAGGGACCACCACGAAGACTGGAGGCTGGGAAGCTAGTTAACAGGCAGATACAGGAAGAAAGCCATATAGCATGTTCTGGAGTAAAGACATGGATGAGAAAGGTGAAGAGTGAGCAAAGATGGAAAGAATACTTCTCTCCACTTTGGGAGTCTCCTCCACTCTGCAACTCCCAGGAGAAGTGAGCCATGTGTGATTTAGATGGAAGCACTGGTGTTGGAGATGAACAGGATAGGCAAAGCTTAAGATTTTATATCTCAACAGTCAATGTGGGGCTAAAACTCACAACCCTAAGATCAAGAGTCACATGGTCTAATGACTGAGCCAGCCAGGTGCCCGAGGCAAGGCTTGAGATTTTAGAGGTGAAATAGCTAGAACTTGGTGATATATGGGACGCCTCTCGGGGAGGGGAGAGTTCGATGATGGCCTAGCATTTATCTCAGAATGAGGCATAGATGAGGGAGAGTTGAAGTACCTTTGCTCTAACCCTTCATCTTTGTATTACACTGGCAAGTTTGTCTCCTCAGGTAACCTGGTAGTTATTTGGTATAATTTAAGGGACTTACTTAGTCACAGAGCCTTTTAGTGATAGGCCCATGGCGTCCATTCAGCCCCAGTGACTTCTTATTGTCAGGGCTGAGGGTTAAGCTGGAATGACAATATATTTGTAGGAAACTTCACATCATATCTGGAATAATGGGCATTCCCATTGCTCCTACACATGATAATAACATTATAATGATTCACCCATAGCAGCTTGTTAGGGTCTGATTGCCCAGGCTTCCATAAAAGGAATAATTTTACACCTAGGACGTTTTCTGTGATGTATCACCTGTTAGCTGGAATAATTTCCTCTTGGGAGTTACTAACCGTAGATAGATGCTATTTACGGAGTTTTTCCTCATGTGGGAACTCTACCTTTGGTTTCCTGCTGAAAGGAATTGGATGTTGCTGGCCCTTATGGTAGGCAGAGATTGCAGACAGTTCAGGTGTTGCTAATGGAGATGAAGTCGGGGAGTGTTTGTGATGTGAGGGTTGAGGAGTGTACCTTACACAGAGCCTGCAGATGCTGGGATGAATTGCGAGAGAGTCACAAACAGGTAAAATCTGTATGACATATGCTGTCATGGTAAATTTGCAAGGTGGTATGGGCATTTAAAGATAAAACTGATTCACTGTACCTTTGTGAAGCCAGGAGGGGAGATGGAAGATCTCTCTTCCCTAGCCCTTCATGCTATTCAAGAGTTAGTGAGAAAGCTATGCTTTTTGAGCCTTTATGTTGCTTTCAGAAAGAGGCCCCTAGATTTACAGGACCCTCAACCAAGGAACAAAACTAGTCACAATATAGTATTTATCACTCTTCCCAAATACTTGCCCTAAATACTTTTTGTTTTTGAATTTCCTCTTTATTTCAAGAAGCTCAGTCTTTTTTTTTTATTCTTATGTTAATCCCCATACATTACATCATTAGTTTTAGATGAAGTGTTCCATGATTCATTGTTTGTGCATAACACCCAGTGCTCCATGCAGAATGTGCCCTCCTCAATACCCATCACCAGGCTAACCCATCCTCCCACCCCCCTCCCCTCTAGAACCCTCAGTTTGTTTTTCAGAGTCCATCGTCTCTCATGGTTCGTCTACCGCTCCGATTTCCCCCAAGAAGCTCAGTCTTTATACTGAATCTGGTCTGGAAATGTGTTTGTTCCCCCAGAAATGATGATGTCTGAGGGGTTGGAATGAAGCTTTGAGCTGATACTTATAAATAAAACTAGATCACAGTTAATTCATTCCACACTTTTTAACTGCCTCTAATACTTTCTCAAAAGCACTTTGCTTCAGTTTGACCTGAGTACTTCAAGTATTAGTTTATTCTTCTTAGCCAGAGGTCAGCATATTTTTTCTATAAAGGCTTAGGTAGTAAATGTTTTTTGCTTTGTGGGCCAAAAATATTTGGTTTCTGTCACAACTACTCAACTGTGAAGTTTTAGTACAGGCAGCCATAGTAAGTGAATGGCCATGGCTTCATGCCAATACAACTTTATTTACCAAAACAGGTGGGACAAACCATACAGAAATAAAAAGGATTAGTAGAGAATACTAAGAATAGTGTATTCCAGTAAATTAGATAACTTAGATGAAAGGACTAATTCCCAGAAAGACATAGATTACTGAAAATGACTCAAGAAGAAATAGAAAATCTGAATAGGCCTATACAACAAGTTAAGACACTCAATTAGTAATGAAAAAACTACCCACAAAGAAAAACTCTGACCCAGATGGCTTCACTGGTTAATTCTACCAAATATTCAAAGAAAAATTAGTACTAGTCCTTCACAAACTTTTCCAAAACATAGAAGAGGAGGGAATATGTCTCAGTTCATTCTATGAGGCCATTAGTAGCCAGATACCAAAAGCAATCAAAGACATCACAAGAAAACTGCAGGCCACTATCTCCTCTGATTATAGATGCAAAAATCTTCAACAACATACTAGTGAACGGAATCCAGCAACATATAAAATGAATTGTATGTCATGACCAAGTGGGACTTATCTGGGAATACCAGGTAGGTTTAATATCCAAAAATCAATTAAAATAATGAACAGTATTAATAGAATAAAAGACAAAAACCACTTGGTCACCTCAGCAGAGACAGAAAAAGCATATGATAAAACCCAACACCTTTCATGATAAAAATGCTCAACAAACTAGGAATAGAAAGGAACTTCCTTAACCTGATAAAGGGCATCTAAGGAAAAACACACAACTAGCATCATTCTTAATAGTGAAAGACTGAAAGTTTTCCCAAGATCAGAACAAGACAGAGATAGCCACTTTTGCCACTTCTGTTCAACATCAGACTAGAGATCTAGTTAGAGCAATCAGAAAAAGAACAAGAGGCATCCTGATTTGAAAGGAAGAATTAAAACTATCTCTGTTTGCAGATGACATGGTTTTATATATTGAAAATCTTAAGGTATCTAGTAAAAAAAATCTAGAACTAACAAATAAGTACAAGGTTACAGAGTGTAAGATCAGTATACAGAAATCAATTGTGTTCCTACACACTTGCAATGAACAATTCAAAAATGAAATTTCATTCACAGCCTCAAAAAGAATAAAATATTTAGTAATAAATTTAACAAAAGAAGTATATAACTTATATCCTTAAAACTACAAAACACTGTTGAAAGTAATTAAGGAAGATCTAAATAAATGGGAAAACATCTCATGTTCATGGATCATAATAGTTAATATTTTTAAGATGTTAATACTCCCCAGATTGATCTGCAAATTCACTGTAATCCCTATCAGAATACCAGCTAAGTTCTTTTTAGAAATTGATAAGCTGAGCCTAAAATTCATATGGAATTGCAAGGAACTCAAAATAGCCAAAACAGTCTTGATGAAAACAACAAAATAAGAGTACTCATACTTCCCAATTTCAAAGCTTGCAACAAACCTACAGTAATCAAGACAGTATGGTACCAAGATAGGAATAGACATGTAGATCAATAAGGTAGAATTGAGAGTCCAGAAATAATACCCTTACATTTATGGTCAGTTGATTTTTTTGATAAGGATGCCAGGACAGTTCAACAGAGGAAGGAATAGTCTGTTCAACAAATGGTTTGGGGATACTGGATATCCATATATACAAAAGCATGAAACTGAGCGCCTTCCTCTCATCATACT